GATTTGTATTGTTGGAGACTCCTCAGCATGCCTGTTAGGGAGAGATCTCTTGCAGGCTCTAGACATAGAATTATGCTTGCTACCTGAAGGAACAGACATAATAATCATGGGAATGACTGTGGTCACTGAAAGCCCAAATAATGAGCTAAAAATATTGGAAGAGTTGAAATGCATACCAAAAAGTTGTGGAGTAAAAGTAGCACAGATGTAGGGTTACTGGTTTCAGCTCAACTCATAAACATAAACACAAAGGGAAGAACCCCCACTCTGGCTGTGAAACAGTATCCTATTCCGCAAGAAGCTGAGAAGAGTATACAGAAGCAAATATACCAGTATTTAGCCCAATGAATTCTGAAAGCATGTGTCACCATATAATACTCCTATGCTTCCTGTAAAAAAGAATAGATTAGATAGAGATGGAGACTCAGAATACCGTTTTGTACAAGATGTGTGGGGTAGTTAACCAGCACGTAGTGATTCCTCGCACAGTAGTGCCCGATGCCTCTACCATACTTTACAAATACCATATTGGGTAAGGTATTATACTGTGATTGATGTAGCCACTGCTTTCTTCAGCATCCCTTTAGATGAGAACAGCCAACTTTTATTTGCCTTTATGTGGTGCTTGCAGGGTCTCCTACAATTTTTTCATGAATGCTGGGAACGCTGAGAAAAAACTACCAGGTAAATCAGCACTTACACAATATGCAGGTGATCCGTTACTTGCTAGAAAGATGTATGAAGATTGCTTGAAAGATACTATTTGTCTATGTACTGCTGTTGTCCCTCAAACAGGGTTTGTTACCTGGTGTGCAAAAGCGAATCTCGCACACAGAGCTGAGATATATGTTTATTCCATATGGGTGTTAGGGTGTGATTCCACAAAGCTAGCATGCTACATAAAGGAACTGCAACCTATTTATCGCGTGCTTAGTAAAAACCTCAGTTTACACTCATTGGTCCATAATTACCATGGCACCTGCTATTGGTTAGTTATATTTAAATTAGTGCTGCTTGCTGTGTAAATTAGCACGCATGGCCCTTGCAGGTGTCGGGGGGAACATGCTTTTTGGTCTTGAATTGAATTGGTGGTCATGATCTCCCCCTACTGCCTTTGCTTCTCCCTTAGTTACCACAGATTTTTGCTGACTTCATGCTGCTTCGGCACCCCTGGCCCTGTCAGGGGTGGGATGTTTGCCTCATACCAATCTCTTAGCTTCTTTCAATGGTAAAGCAAGGCCTGCATTGTATCAGGCTTACGCAATAGAGCCAGTGATTTGTGGTCCTTGTACCTGATGAGAAACATTTATATGGGCTACACCACCTAGCAGAAAAAGGTCACTGTACATCTCTTTTGACTGCGTCACCAGGAAGTAAAATATTCAGGATTCCTATTAAAAGAAGGACAAAGATTAGTAGACCCAGAACAGGTCCAGTCTATTTTAGAAATACCTCAACTAGTAACAAAGAAAAAACTGTGAGGATATTTAGGCACTGTAGGGTACTGCAGGCCCAGGATACCAGGGCTAGAGGAGGTAAGCCAGCCATTGACAGAAGCTACCTAGGCAGATGAAGTGGAGCCTCTACGATAGGGTCCAGAGAGAGAGAAGGCTTTCCAAACTATGATAGGAACTCTAGGTTCTTCTCCAGCACTGGGATTGCCAGATTACTCCAAGTTCTTTGAACTATTTGTGCATGAGAACAAAGGAGTAGCCACCAGAGTCCTTACTCAAAAGCTACATCTACACTGCCGCCCCGTGGTTTATTACTCAATTTGACTGGGTCCTCTACCGGCAGGGAGTACTTCCTGTGTTAGAGCAATAGCAGCAACAGCGATTAGCACAGAAAAAGGCAGACCATTAGTGCCGGATGACCCAAGGACTGTGTGTGTCCCACATGAAGTAGAACTGATTCTTAAGTAACATGCTACACAAGCACTGTCCCACACAAAGAGTATATCGCTACGAATTAATAATTTTGAATGCAGATAATATTACTTTAAAAAGATGTAATGTTTTGAATCCAGCAATTTTACTGTCTGTTCCTGTAGCGGCCAAAATAATGTCAGAGCGTTCTTTTTTCTTTTCTGCAGGGCAGGGGCCATCTTCTTTCTTTATTCTTCTTTCTCTCTTCTTACAACAATACATACTTATACTCTCATTAAACCTCTTACTTCATAATAGGCAAATCAGCAATTAGACAGCTATGAACCTTTTCTCCTATCAGCATAAGATCACTCTAACACATGCTGTGCAGACCAATCACCTTCTTGTTCATGTGGCGGCAACTTCTCACAGTTCAGTATTTTTCCACAATTCAGTGTTGCAGCTGTCTGTTTTTCCCTGCCACCTTGGCACAACTCAGCAGTTTCTTATCTTTCTCCCAAGACCTATTTCTCATCAAGGCTTAGCTGTTTCTCAGAGGCTGTGCAGGGCTGACAGGCCAATGTTGACTTGCCTCTTTCCCACATGTTCCTTCTGATGGTGAGGCGCATCATGATTGTGCTCAGGTAGTGTTTCACTCCAGCTGCCTATGGGAAGATCTGCAGGATCAGCCTCTAGAGACCTCAGATCTAACCCTTTTAACCAACAGATTGTCATACTGTGTGAATGGAAAAATGACACAAAGGCTACGCTGTGGTGAGAAACTCAGATGTACTTGAAGAGGAAAATCGACAACCCTTGGTGAGTGTCCAAGGGCCTGAATTAACTGCATTAACGGAGCAGCCTGGTAGGGACGTAATCAATGGGTAACTATTTATACTGATTCTAAATAGATTCTATATCATCTGCAGTCATCGGGACAGGTGGAAAAAATGAACAGGACTCTCAAAAATAGTTTCTCAAACTTGTAGTCAGGTAGATTTGAAATGGTCTGAATTTTTAAGAATAGTGCTAGGCAATTTTGGGTATACACCTCGCCAACATCTAGGGTTGTCACCAGCAGAAAGAGCATTTGACAGGCACTTAGCTGTACCTGGGACCTTCGTCCCTGCTAGGACCAGCTTCTTAGATGGAGATGAACAGTTGACCCAGTATTTTATATACACAAAAAGGGTTTGAAGACAAAAGGAAATATGCTCAATTGTATCAACCCACACCGCCTGAAATGCAGGTACATGATATATGGCCTGGAGACAAGGACTTAATTTCCTGAAAATCAAAATTTGAACTCAAATGGAAGGGACTATACACTGTCTTATTGTGTTCTTATTTTGCTGAGTGCAACCGCAAGAGACTTAAGCAAATTAGAACACCTATTGAGATCCTCCATTAGCATTAGGGACTAACCAGTGTCTTGTGTCTGATATCCTACCTCAGTTGGAAAAAGTTAATGAAAAGGAGCACCAGTTGATGCACTTGGAACAATTCAAGGCAATGTTTCACTAGCCCCTAGCTGTATCCAAGCTCAGCTGTGGATGCAGTCTACAGTAGCAGCAATTATAAGAGAAGGTGAAGAAGGCATTCCATTGAACCAAAAGGCACGTAAAGAACATGTGAGGGGCGGGTGTACATTCTGTGAGGGTATAATTGCCCAGGGATTTCTTTTTTCAGGGTTCTTCTCTGGAGGCACCCAGCTTGAGCTGGTTTGTGTTTTTTTTTTTTTTTTCTGGCTGTATCATCTGAATAATTAAAAAAAAAAATAATTGATGACTGAGACACTGCCACAGGAAGCCTAGGGTTCAAGCTGCGAAGAAACTGTGGGTGATAAAAACTATCATTTAAAATTATATTTTTGGGCTGGTTTTTGCACGTACTGTAGGATATTGTGGATAGTATGGCGTTTTGTTCTCAAGCAGTTGTTCTTGTTCATTGTTGAATTCTTTACTCAACATTCTCCAGGTTGTTCCTCTGCCTGGAGGAAAGGAGGCTGAGGTGAGACCTTATTGCTCGCTACAACTACCTGAAAGGTGGATGATGGGTCTCTTTTCCCAAGTAATGAGCAATAAGGCAAGAGGAAATGGCCTCAAATTGCACCAGTGGGGGTTTAGATGGGATGTAAGGAAAAAATTCTTCACAGAATGAGGTTGTCAAGCATTGGAAGGGCTGGTCAGGGCGGTGGTTGAGTCACCATCCCTGGAGCTATTTAAAAGACGTGTAGATGCGGTGCTTACAGCCACGGTTTAGTGGTGGACTTGGCAGTGCTAGGTTAATGGTTGGACATGATGATCTTGAGGGTCTTTTCCAACCTAAACGATTCTGTACTACTGCTTTTTTTTTTTTAAAAAAAAA